AAAAAAAGTCGAGATTCTTAAACCAGTTAGAATGACACCATCTCAAAATGAGACCATGCAAAATAATTCAGAATGTGTGTACAACATTTCTCCCCTTGTTTTGCTGCCATATACAGTGAGTAGTACAACAGGAAATTGGCTGGCATGTGCTTGCTTGTGAAATCTCATCTCTTTACAACAAGAACATAAGGGGCAGAAGTCAATTTACCTTCCTGTTTATTTTATGAGGGATATGGAACTGAGAAATTCAGCTGCCCAGTTTCATCCAACCAACCCACAAATAAGCACAACTGTTGGTCTCATCTGCTAAGTCTGGAGGACTGAGATAGACATTGCTATCTTGAACAGATTCATCTACTTAGCCTGAGAATGTGAGCTTTTAGTAGAATTTTCCTTGGAGCTCTTGTGAAATCTTTGTGAGCTGCATAGACTAAAGATGTGGTTTTCTAAATTGTACTAGAGAAAATCCTGACTCAAGTGGCACTGTGTGTCTAAATTTCTGACCAAAGAAAACTATACAACATTTATAGAATAACTTTTAGAGATGGTTCACTAATATTGTACATATTTTACATGACAATACACAGTCTGAGAGTTTAGAAAATAAGTTCATGAATTATTACCTCTAAAAATATCATGTACAGGATAAATCCCTCCCTAAGTATGTGTGACAACATTTCAGGTTGAAGCAATCTTATTTACAAAAGCAATCCAGTTTCTCTGTTTTTAGGTATGTAATTTAAAGAAATTTGAGATTAGAGAAAAGTCTTCAATCCATTGGTAATTGATAGAAAACATCAATTTGTGGGATTTAAAAAGTCTCCTTAAATAAAAAAAACAAGCCACAAACACTCAGAATATGTAAGCTCTGTACAAAGAAAAATACAAAAATCCTGGAGGATCCAAGTTTATTACACTACATAATTCAGAGTGAAACATTATTGGTTAGGTTTTTCTACTTTATTCATTTATTTGACAGCACTAGTTTGTGAACTAATGTTTATGTTTAGTTCTGCTGCATTTATGGCACAAGATCTCCTTTTCAAAATGGCACCAATTTTCCTTTAAAGACTATTTTTAGCAGCAATCATATTTAAAGGTGAACAACTTACAGGGCAAATGCTTTAGCTATACCTTTTCTATGTCATACTTGCCAGTTACAGTATTTACAAAAGGCTAACAATATCTACATAAAAAGGACCTTTCACTCTTCCTCATCCATATCTTAGTCAAAGGCTTTTTCCTTCCCCTTGTTTTTGATCCCATTGGAGAAGAGCATGAGATTCAGTTCAGGGATGTAGCTATTTATATGGGGCGCCTGATTTTAAAGGAGTATAAGACAAGTGTAAGATGAAGTAATTCTTAATTTGGGATATTCCACTACCCCTAATAGTTCTGTGACAGAGAGTACTTAATGACAACCTAGAAGAGAGCGACCCTTGATTTTCAGCCTGTAACAACTGTAACAACTGGAAGGCCACTCACTGTGATGCGGTCATCACTGACTGGCATCGAATGTTAGACTCCCAATTGTGTGATTATTGGTAAACATGGAAATTTAACTGAAGAGGTGGCACTAAACTAGAAAACTGAAAATTCATTTTAAGAACAATTTACATTGAGGGAAATATGCACTGTATAAATGAGGAATTATAAAGAACTGGCAATTAACTGACCATGCTAAATGGATTCCATGAGTAAGTTTTCATGATAGGATATACTTACTACATGCATTTTGCTTAAAAATATTTCCCTAAAAGTTAGAGTTCCATTTCATGTTACACTACTATTGTAGTTCAGGCGAAATAGCTATACTATTAGGTT